ATGCTCAATCATACAAGATCAGTTTTGACAATATATTGACTTGACTTTCCTTTGACTTTCCTTCAACTTTCACTTGACTTTTTCTTCGACTTTTTTTCCAACTTAATTTCTGACTCAACTTCCAACTTGTCTCAGATTAACACCATTCATTATTTCATACATGATTTCATTCTTAAGTCATATTACAGACATTCACTGACATTCAAAAACATAAAAGGCCAGGCAATGAAAGGAGTGAGGGAAGTCAGTCAGAAAATACTGACATGAATTGAATTTTCTCAACAGTTCTTGAATAGTAGTTGAAGAGTTTTCTATAATGTTAAGAATCAAATGCCTCATTCAATGAAGTATCAATTCATCCTGATGATAAAGTGTGAGCTTATATTAGGACACAAAGGCTCACAGATTATTGAGTCAGAAATTAAGTTGGAAAAAAGTCAAAGTCAAAGTCAAAGGAAAGTCGAGTCAAAATATTGTCAGAACTGATCTTGTATGCTCATGACAGTTTGCTTACATACATTATTGTGGTTTGGATATGATTTTGTTGGGCCAAAAACCCTAACAAAATACAAGATTTTGCCAGAGTTTTCCTATTCAGAAAATCCGCCAAAATTAGTTTATTTCTGATGATGTTTTCCCAGAATTTCCTCCCACAGATGTTTACAGTTTTCAAATATGATATTTCACCTCGGAAAAACCTACTAAAACTTAATTTTCAAACAATGCTTAAAAAATATGGTCAAATATATTAAGATTTTTGGAAGATTTCCGACTCCAAAAACCTTGGGATGCCTCTAGTGTCTCAAACTCGTTACTTACCAGAAAATTGGGGGCAAATTCATCAATGTAATACATTTTCCTCACCCATTATTTTGCACAAAGATCCAGAAACGTAGTGCATACTGCCACTTTAAGTTCCAAGTCCCATCAAGTTGCTACTTCAGATCTTCCTTTGTTCTTTTTGGCAGCATCGATCACATACATAGGTTGATGTGTTGTCCGCCACTGGTGTGTATTAAATGGGACCCTGGCTAGGTGTAATTCAGATACCACTCATATAAAGGTTGTTTTGTGCAGAAAAAAGGGGTATCTCGCTACTTTCACTGTATAAAACAAAAAAATGACTTAACAACAAATACATCTAAAGCTCGTTCACAAGAAGTTGTTTTCCGCTACATCCAAGTCGTGTCCTTTCTATCGAGTAGCCATGCTCTTTCTGATCACCTTCTCATGAGAACTAGAGCGAGGTAAGATGTTGCATTCGAATGCAAACGGACGGCTGAAGTATATCGTTATTTAATATTGATTGTAATGCCTTGAGATCAATCAGAGCTAGTTGGACTCACGACATGAGCCCTGAGATAAATGTATCTTCAGTAGGGCAACCCTTCCCAGGAGCGGGCGTAATTGTGAACGAGTGCAAAATAGATGCAATAAACATAAATAAGACATCCTGCGCAATACCGCGAGCTGGACAGATTCTGAAAATATGTCGTTAATTTCGACAAACGAATGTGGGATTAGGAATATGACTACCTTTTACCAAATCCAAACGCCTGTTCAGGGTCCTTAACGCCTTTGACGAGAAATCGTTCAGGACGGAATTTATCAGGATCAGGACCATAGGCCGTTTCTGAGTGAAGTAATTCCCTAGAAAAAAGTATCGAGTGAGATATGGCAGATGCAATCAATCAAAATGACATCAGACCACGCATTTCCGAACACAAGTGTCCCTGCGGGGAGGAAATAATTCCCAATGACGTCATCCTGTGACAAACGATGTGGAAAGGCGAGAGGCGCAACAGGATGCCATCGAAAGACCTCTTTGCACAAGGCAGTAATGTATGGAAGATTTTGACGGTCTTCGAATGTAGGGAATCGATCTAATCCGACAACTTTGTCAAGTGTCTTCTGGGCAGTTGATTGCACTTCGGGATATAGAATCATGGCCACGATGAATATTTCCATTGCACAGTGAGTCTAAAAATTTCACATCAGGTGGATTGGCGGAATTTGGTAGGGCGTGATGCACGTACCGTATCCGCACCTGCAAAAAATGCGCTTCCTGCTACATTGCGAATGACCTGTTCTTGGTCAGGCGTTGCATCTGAGTCAACTTCTAGGTCGTCCAGCATCGCCGCAGTCACTGAAGAAGGAGCGTCACCGGAGCTCTAGGTAACGGACAAAATCAGAATGTGATGTTCCACATCAAACACTATAACTAACAAGCATGTCTTTTACCGCTTTGAATGGGACTTCGACCATGTCTAGCATCACTTTGCGACCTGCCTTGGCTTCCTTTTGAAAGCCCGCACCAGGCATCCATTCCGGGATATATTTTACTGTGGCGACACCGACTAGTCCTTAACGAGAGGCAAAAAAGATATAGATGTGTAACTCACGAATTGGGAGTACGTCCACGAGAAATGCTCCAGGCTGTGCAGTGCGAGCGACTAAAGTGACAGCCGCTTCGGCCAAGTTAAGGTATGGATCATTTTCTGGGAGCACAGTAATGCCGTAGGTGCTCTGAAAATATCAGATTGAGTTCCAGGGAGGATCTCGTAGTGTTTCGATAATACTCTGACCTCTAGAATGAGTGCACCGGCGGCGTACCGGATATGGTCCGAAAATGCACCTGGGGAAACCAGAAGGCGTTGTAGCAGATCCCTAACGATGATAAATTTCAATAATACAAGACGTCGTGTTTGGATACAACCGACTTTGTGTATTTACTTTGACCCGACCTCCAGAAAGTATGAGCCGAAGAGAGGAACTGTTTATTTAGTATTTGACGATGCTTGCGCCAACGTTCTCCGTACGGCATTGCCGGTATACCCCAGTCAAATTTCATGCTGTAATAGAGAAAAATGTTTAGGGTGGCCGCGGGGCCATGAAATATGAGAAATGAATTCACAGGTCGCAAAGCATAGGAAGCTGAGGTCTGTCAGAGTATATTGATGAACGTTTCTCAAACAGTTCAGAAACGAGTTCTTTAGAGTTGACGAAAGCGATGGATGTGCCCAAGATATTAACATAAACCAAATCCCCTGAAAAGAGTATGAATCACTAGGACTTCAAGATGATTCAGGAAATAGGTCATACCGTATGACTGTGCCCAATCTTTATATGTCTTCCATTCGAGGCTTTTGGGGAGATCAAACAAATTGCCGATAATGGGATATCCAGGCGGGCCAGGTGGAAGACTGAGTCCTGTGATATGAACGAGTTATATTGTTTGCATCTTCTGGATGCCGAAAGTTTTATTGACCTTTTGGGACTCTCCTCCGCCGCAGCAAATAAGCAGCCAAGGCAACAAATAAAGCGATGACTACGTAAACATTGGCCACCAAGAAACTCCAAATCCTCATCGCGTTTTTGGTGGGCTGGAGAGAGTAAGTAGTGCATCCGGAGACACAAATGACGGCGTTTTTATGTCTATGTCTCTTTCGCCCGCTGGCTTATACGTCACCAAATTAAAGCAGGAAACTCATCTGCCAGTGTTGAGAACGCCGATCAGGTGTTTCTGAGAAGAATGGTTGGTTAATAGTTGACGGATATGTCGGTCTTCCATCGACACCGAGTGTCGGGACGAAGCCCCAGTTAAGCTTCCGAGGCGGGCTCGGGGACAGTGCCGCGCAGGATGACCTCAAAACGCCAAAAACACATTTGACTAGCATAAAATAGATATAATTTTGTATACATTCTTCATTGTGTATATGTGTAATGTGCACCCTTTTCTAAGAGCATATATCGTTTAATATGGTATTTTGAGTATTACCATTCAAAATATAACTATGTTCTAGTTTGAAGTCAACAGGTGTGTTCGCGGCAATCGCCCACCCGTCGCTACCGCACGCCGGCTGAACTGTAGACTCAACGCAAGTACGCAACTGCAAATCGGTCGAAATTATAGACCGAACTATGCAAAGGAACTGCGTGCCGGTCGCCCTACCGTCTGGTGATTTTCGCTGCTCAGGTTGATGCCCAAGTGTGCAAATACATCTTGCAAAATGGACCCGGATGTCATTGTGCAGGTGACTGGAATAGAATTAAAATGCAAATTATGCCAAAGTTACGAGAATTTAGAGAATAGAATCTTAAAAGATTGTGTGGGTGACTGTGTCGTGATAAGATCAAACAAAGGTGTGAGATACCTCCTTCCGCTCAGCTAGACATTGTCCCAGCAGGCCATATCAGGAAAGTGGGAAGATCAGTGAGTATGCCGTCTATATTGTCTAGAGCCATCTAGGAGAGCTAGCTAGCTCGGCTAGAATCGGCTAGACACACTACTTTTGCGAAATCCCAATTTACTAGTCGGTATAAAAACTTACTATAGACCTAGGGAGTCTACATGATGGGAGTAGACATACCCAAACCCCTGATGCAGGGATCATGTGGCACTCCCCCCTAGACCCAAACCACATTATATCTTTTGGTGGCACTCTAATTAGCCTCTCTATCCATCCATTGTTATTGAGCATTGTTTCTTTTTAGTTATTCTACACCTCTGTAAGAGTTGTGAGAATCTCTTGCTTTGGAAAGCTCATCGTTTTTGAAACTAGTACCACTGGTGTTCACAATTGTACTGGCAAGATCATATTCTCCACATGTAAGTAACCAGCGACAAAATTAGGAAGCAACCCCATCAGCTTCCAGCCTCTTGAAATAGTGATGTGGTTGAGCTTGACGCATCATGTCACGTGCCTCCTTCTTTTTTTTTAATACATTTATATGCATCGCATAACTAAGATACATAGCAGTCAGGGTAAAGGTGCCCTAAAGGTAGGTAGAGGAGAAAGGTATAGAAGTAGTGGGTTGGGGGGCAGGAGGGTCAAGAGAAGGAGGGGGAAAGGCAGGGAGGATAGAGAAAGGGCCTGGGGAGAACTGACAAAGTTGCAAGGGGGTTGTTGAATGAGCAATGGTTGACTTGGATAAACTAATATCTTACTGATGACTAACCATCTCAGTAGTGACTGGTTCCTAACAGAACTACTCTTAATGGCCTGATAGCTCAGGGGTTAAGAGCACTAGACATGTAATCCAGACATAGTGGTTTGCTGGTTCAAATCCAGCTCAGGTCAATACTTTTCACCCTATTATGTAATTCTTACAGGGGTGGGGTGGTGCTTATGTCTTATGGAAGGCATTGGAGGTGGCAATAAATTCAGCCAGCACTTCAAGGCCTTTGTGGGTGCTGAGGATGATGTGTGCCTCTTTCAGTGTTATCATGGCATGGGTACTGAACATTGCTCACTTGGGTATTCAGAGTGTGGGTACTCTGGGCAGGCTATTCTCTTCTCACTGAAACAAAGAATAGCCTGCCCAGGATACCCACACTCTAAATACCCATGTGGGTGATATTCAGACAGTTCTCATGCGGTGATAACATTGTCAGACACATATTTGGGATGATGGGTGGGTGTGATATTTTTCAATTGTGCAGACCGGAGGACTTTATTGACACTGTCGCTTCATCGCACCACGCATTGGCACTTTCGTCTGTGCCCAGATGTTGAATTTTTCAAGAGGTGGGGATACACTCGCTCGCCGCTGTTTACAAGTGACGGAGCATTCATCCCTCCAATACTGCCGCGTCCGTCGCCGTACCTTAATCACCTCACAATTCTACCCCTCATCAGGCCTTCGCATCTACATCCCTCCCATGCCTAGCCTTCGCCGCTCGAGCATGGCCTCCTTTCTTAGTCCGCAGACTCCCACACATCCCCCGCCCAAGGCGACTCTACAACGGACAAATATTTTGGTGCCGTCTCTGAATGATCCTTGGCTTTTGAAGGAGAGTGTGTTGGTGTGTGAGAAGGGAGCTTAAGAGGACAGGGATTATGCATCCTTGAGGGCCGGCGATATTGTGTGGGATCCGGCTATCGTAGATAAGGAGAATTTTGGGAGACTGGTTTAGAGGTACAGCGCAATGGGCGAACTCCAACCCCTCATTCACTCCACCGTCCTAGTTGCCAAGGTAATTCGCACAAATGGGAACCTGTTCTTTCAACCCGATATCAGTCGTTGGAGGATAGAATTATAACTGAAGTTTGAAGTGCCTTCCTCATTTCCCATAGACCCACAATTCTTACCATTACCAATACTTCTGCTCACCCCTTGCTATCCCCAAGGCTCACACCACACAGTCCTCGTTTCCGCTGAATTCACCGCTTCCGGCGGCCCCAAAATCCTCCCCGGCACGCCGATCCCCGATCCCCCATTCCACCCCAATGGGTAGGCAACGTCGACATTAAAGGAGAAGGGACAAAGGAAGGCCGATGATCTTTTGGGACGATGTGGAGAAGAAGTAGCCGCGAAGATTGTCAAGAGCATCGGCGACGTGAATGTGAAGTTGGGTAAAGGCAATCCAGGGACGGTGTTCAGAATTTTTAGGGCGGGGGGACGTCTGGGAAGGTCTGGATCAAGCGCGTTGCAGAGAATGAGAGGATTACATCCGAGTATTGCTCGAATTCAAATGTTATTTTCTTTTCTGTTTGCTCCCTCTCGTGGTAGATGTCCCATGTTGTGATAGAGATTGTTTTTTAATTAGGAGAATATCAATTTTGAGAAGATAATTGGACGAAGCATGAATTACCGATGATCCTAACGAAATCATTGATCTATTGCACTATCCAAATACTCACCGATCATTCCCCCTCCTCTACCCTCCTCGAGACTGACCATACATATATGCGTCAATCAACACATCTCGCTCTACCTGCACCAGTCCCGATGTTGGTATCTTACACATTTATTGTCGTGTTTCACGGTGATGCTTGATCCCAATTTCACAATGAATTGACCAGTTCTTTTTCAAAACTGCATAGAATAGTCCGACCTTGGTGTAATTCTATTTACGAAATCCTGGTCTGTTCAATTGTCTACGGAGCAACCCGGTTTCTGAACTAGCAAGTTCCGCAGTGGCGCAAACTTGGCTATAGTGGAACAACGGGATTGGTTAAATGGTTTGAATGAGGAAGAAAAGTGTCTGTTATTGTAAAAAAATCTACGGGTGGGTCGGGGTTCATCTTTTTTCTTGTGTGCATTGAGACGAGAGAGCAGCCACCCACTCAATCCAGTGTGCACTGTTGGTCAACTGGGATTTAAAATGGCTAGCAGTAGGAAGTAGATATATGAAACATTTTGCACAAGGGACATTTAATTTGGCAGCATAGCAACAAGACATCCGCCCGAGGAAATGTGTTTACAGTAGCATTGCTACTAGTGTGGGACTCGAGCCCTTACACCTTTAAGAGTAGGATATAGGTATTTCCCAAAATAGCTCAAAATGTCATATTTTATCCTCACAAAGTCCCCCTAATTGTTAAAAAAAAATTTTTTTAATGTTGCCTTAAATAATTCATTTTATACAATGCTAGTGAAAGGTCACTTTTTGGATATATTTTGGCATCCACAATATTAGCATTTTGGGCAAACCCATGGGGTACCACCCCCAATCTACCAAGAGTCTGATAGCTCTAACCATCGCCAACATAAATCTGTTCTTATGGCTCAAGAAGCTGAGTCTTCCGTGCTTTACTAACAGAAGTAAATATTCCATAGCAGAACTGGTCCAGATACTGCAATGGAGAGCACACATCCCTCATACCCTCCACGAGTCCAAATGGGTCTGGAAAGACCATGAAAACATTGCTTCAGCTATGCTGAAGGAAGTGCTGTATTCATTGAAGAACAGGTGTGGAACCAGATCCACCTGTACATAGGATGATCCATGTCGTGAGGAAGCCAACAGGTATACAGGCTATGGCTAGTGCGAAGGCTTGGTATCAGGGGAGCAAGTATAGTCTTTAGCCTTGGGTATTTTGCTGATAAGATGATGCATTCCATAGATAATCGCCTCCATGATGTTTATCCAGTGGCATATATTTAACCGCTCAAGAGCGTATCGAGGTTCCATGAGAGTGTTCACACACTGAGCGAAATTCTGTGAGTTGCACTCGGGGATCAGGCAGGTATGTATGGCGGCTGCAGAGATGATTGGGAATTTTATTATAAAAAAAAATGTAAGCACCCAATTAAAGTGTGATGACACCAAATTCAAAGGTATGATGAATTTCAATATAACCCTTTTTTCTAAAATTGTCTTGAAACTGTTTTTGTTTTTAATTTCTTTGTGGAATAAAAAATATTATTTGGTGCTTTATTACTCGAAGCTTAAATATATGTGTTTTTTCATAAAATCAATGGTGATATTATTTTGTCATGGTATATATTATGCTGACCATACTTCGGTGAAATTGCGGAATCCATGCGGCGTGTCAAAGGGTTCCGTGTGGAAGCTGGGGTCACGCTGGATTCATTTACATATTCTTATAGGCTTTATGATATTCCGACATGAACGTAGTTCTGCTATGCGGAAACCAACCTTACCCACCTTCCACATGGATACTACAAAGAGTTACCCCGGTGTGTACAATTGAAGGGAAATATTGTGATAACGAAGAGCGTCAAAATGTGGGATTTGAGGAATTATTGATATTTTAGGCTCTCGAGAACCCTAGGAAGCACTAGTGCGCTGATTTGTTGTCATAGATATTTTTGAACTTATGCTACTGTATTAGAAACTTTTACCGTGCCACCTGCTGGGACTCACAACGCAACTCCAGTCATGGAATATGGACTTTTATTCAACTCCAGAGCTGAACTGTACAAATTGAAATCTATTCACCGTAGGGTGAACCTGTGAACACATAGGGATGCAAATGGAATCGATGGCAAAAGAGCCTGTACACAGTGACAAAACAGAATTCTCTAAGGTTCGCATAGCTAAACACCTGAATACATAAAAGGAATAATCATTCCTGATGTCCTGCCATCTGTTTCGAAGCAGAATTGGAGGCATATCCGGGATCTTGATCATATGAACTTCCATACGACTGTTGTACAAAGAAGGTAGGGTTGGTGACAACTCCCAACTTCTGAAACTAAAACAGCTACGGACCTTTAATTTCACCAGTGTCCAGAGTGTCGAACTCCTTAAACAATCCCACCGACAGATCGATGTTGTTCTTGCCGCCACAGGTAGGGCACTCGTCCGCGACGACACCAGTGCTGCTCTTGCCCGACTTAGCATCGGTAATGGAGATAGTCCTCCAACAATTGGCCCCGTGCGCATATTTTGCAGTTTCTAAATTATACCAAGTGTTGATGCTCGGAGACTATGCAAATTGAATCGAGTAAATAAAACTGACCTAGCGCAACGACATGATCACTGTCGCGGTGTACTTTACCGCATGCGCCAGCAACTCCATTCTGCGTGAACCAAGTGCCGCTTAACTCGCTCGCATAAGGCGATGGGAAGCATCAAGTATGATATAAGGACTTACATGCCGTAGCTCCCACTGCGAGGGTTAAGAATCTCGCGGGGGAGTAAAATGGCATTTACGAAAACGACAGTGAACGTTAAGATGTAGTAAAGACTGGAGATAGTCAGCATTTTCAAGGTAGAGAAAGTTTGTTGAGGTGAAGAAAGCGATACCTTATTGACAGCGATTGAAGAAACTTATAACGTGTGCCGCCTCGTGGCTATGTCTCTATTAGAAGGTGCCTACTTGCAACGTCGTGTTCGCGTGTCAATTACATGGTTACATTAATCTAGGACGTGTTCTACGATTATGGGAGCGCTTCTGCGAGGGAGAGATTCGAGTATCCGAGTTCGTCAGCATAGTAGCCCTGAGTATCCCGTTGTCTGGTTGGCGGCCCAAATGCACACATAGTCAATCTGTCAATCTACCCTACTACTTGCACGCAGTAGCACTCTCCTCCTTCAAATCCTTCATTGTCAGCAAATTCCAATTCCAATACATAAATTTGATTACCATGAGCGCAGACAGTTTAATCTGCTAATTGCCGGTAATAATATTAATTAGTTCGTCGTGTCACCAAGGAAGATTGCAACCACTCATCTGAGCTTTGGTATGTCTATCAACGACAGGAGCGGCAACCACGACTTTACATTGTATCGAATGTCGCAATACCAGCTGGAATTTTTGTCGGCCGCATACAAATCACCGATATACACGACATTAACTGTCTGTTTGTTGACAGGGGTTGACAGGGT